CGGGCCGCTGCGGTGGGAAACCGGCGACTAACCGCCTGAGTCGTGGCACAGCAGAGCTCGAGGGCCCGTTACTGGACTTCTTCTGACGTTTCGGAAGTATGTTCCTTCCATCTTCAGGGTAGGAAGATAGAAGTAGCAAGTTCTTTCGCCGCAGAAGATCCCGAAGGATGCGTCCATCTGGTGTGTGATATAGTGTAGTCTGGCAGAGAGGTAATCATGGTTTGGGGGAATCTACTCGCTCCATCTTCAGGATATGGACGTGGAAGTGGCAGATCCTTCCGATAAATTAGTATCCATTTAGCAGACTACTCGGTGCCACATTAGAAACAGTAATCTCAATAGTTCAGTTCAGTTTCCGCTAGGTCAGTTTTAAGAGCAACTTCCTTGCTCTAACGGATCTCTTCTCGAGTTATTTCAGTAACAGTTATATGCGTATATATACCGTGGCACATTTCTCAGGGCTAGAACTGAGGAGCCAGAGAAAAAGCCGTTGCTGAGGAACGGCTCTGAAACAACATTCGTTTCTAGAAAGTGGCTCGGTAAACATGTTCCCGCTGCAACGGATACGCATGCAACAATAGAGGTACTGTTGTAAACGGTGTCTTCTACTCGGTCCGTGCAAAGGGGTTATAAGGAAGGCAACAGGGCAACGGATTCATTTCTGTATGAGAGTCTGTGAGAAAAAGAGGCAGATGGAAGGAAGCAGTCTTTTATAGAGAACTTGAGCGCGTGAAGGTGAAGAATCTCCACTGTTAGAAGCCGTTGCCAGGAAACAACTGGTGAAGACACAACAGGCTGGAAAAGACTTAGCGGATGCTGTGGTGATTTGTGGAGATTAGCAATGGCTCTAATTGTTTGTAGTTCCGAATCGTGTGGGTAGATGGCCAGTAAATCCAATATCCAATCCGAACCCCGTCGAGAATTACCCCTTCAGGTGACAATATATGTAGTATTGTGTGTATTGATTTGCCCACTTGAGCGAGCACCTCTCTTTTCAGCAATCTTGATGTGGGCAGGTTCACAACAACTTACAGACCTCTAAACTTCTCATTATGCAACTGCTCTAAGCATTTCCCTTCCCAAGAAAGTGCTCACCCGTGTGTCTCCACCGGCTGTGAGTAATTTCGTTCTGCAGTCCAAACAAACGCACAGTAGCTAACTCGCTAGCGTTACAACCCACTGCTCTCCAAACACGCCCACTTTCTTAACTCTTTGAAGCCAGAAAGAGAGAGAGTGACAGGAGAGAAAGTGATGGAGTAGTAAGGGGAAGGGAAGGCAGAAAGCCTTTCCTACTTTGAAGGTTCCCAGGCAGTGCCCGCTTGACCTTCTGGTAGAGGTACGTATGAGAGATGGTAGAGCTGTAGGAAGGGAGGAAGGTAAAGGGTTAGGCTTTGTAAATATATATAAGAATTCAGTTCGTACCTCACAGGAAACACGTTACGTCTCCGCTACAAAGCCCAACCGGTTAATGCTGTTTAGGGAAACAGTCGCTGTTTATTGTGAGAACCATACGGAACACACAGATACAACCGGTTAATGCTGTTTCAGGAGACAGTCACTGTTTATTGTGAGAACCATACCGGAACACACAGATACGCTCTGTGGGCAGAATGCAGTATATATAAGAATTCAGTCCGTACCTCACAGGAAAAATTACATCACCGTTACAACGCCCAGCCGGTTAACTGTACTTAGCGAAATGATCGCCGTTTACTATGAGAATCGTTTCAAACACTCCGTGAACAAAATGTTGTGATGTTTAGTGATACAGTCGGTGGTACATATAGTAACCACGGAACTTTATATTGCCATTTATCACGCGGTTTCCACATAATTTCCCAAACACTTCTGAACCATAGCGAGCTGAGAATGTTTTGAAATTTCGCTTTCATCGTCAAATTTAATGCATCGCTTCTATGTTATCCATCGGGGGTGGGTAAAGGTGGTTGTCCGTTGAGTTAACATGCAAACAAACTAAATGCCCCTGGCAAGGTTTGAATATGGTTCACGATGCCAATGAAATGCACAGCTTTGGGCCAGTTGTGTCGCTTATTGCTCCTGACAAGATTAATCAACTGCCATGTGAAACAGTTCAGTGAATCCGCGATCCCGTTTAAGTGACAGACACGGCTAGTATAAACACGTGGGGCCCATCTGTGTGCCCCGCACCTCATAGTTTCCGCATGCAGCACTGGATGAACTGCACGGGATCTGGAAGGAAACTGTTGTGGCATAATCGAGACATTGTCCTAGCATATAAGATTTCGAGGTTTCCACGGCGGTAACTATGAAGAACGCCGTCTTCTGNTTGCAGCTACTTGCTCACGCTGGTTCCTCGTTTGCGAATTTTTTACCCTGAAGATGGAGGAGATATATTCCTCCGAAACGTCGGTTTACACAATATCTACACGGCGCCACATCCCAGAAGATGGCATTCTTCGTTATCCTACAATTTGCTTTGAAGAATTGAGTCGAGATTCGAATCCGGCACCAACCAAATAAAAGTCAATGCGATGCACTCTTGCTGCAGCAAGTGAAACCAGTTCATATAAATTGGGATCGGAGAGGCCAAGGCGCTTGACGCTTATAGGGGTAATTGCTTTTATGTACTAAATGATGAACGGTCGTATTATTCTCACAAAGAAATACTGTGATTAGTACGCGCAGAATATCTAAATGTATAAAATTCATTTTAAATTTACAAAAATAATGTCATATTTACCATGAAATATACTAGAGACAAATTACAGCTTCCATCTGGTGTCCAACAGGAAAACTACTACTTAGTCATGTGGTGACATTTCGCTGTCGTTTCACGGCAAAACTGCAAAGCAACTGACAGGCCTCTGGCAGCCGTTAAACTATGCAGATGGATCACTAACATGTGCGATAATTTGTCAAGTGTCGTTGCCTATGGATACAGACGGTTAAATCTATCCTTTCACTTTGATAACAAAGAAAGGCAAACGCTACAAGCAATGATTTGTTTCCTACTCAACGTTAAGTTCGTTAAGAGAGCGTGGCTTGGTACACAGCGTCATGAGGTTGCACCCAGAACGGAGAAGAAATGTGGCTACCCAAAGCCATGGCTCCTCCAGTGCAAGTTAGACCGGAAGTCCACGCTCTTATAATCAGTAGTCATAGGTGGGCACAGTGTTACGTGAACTGCCGCAACAGGCATTGTCAGAGCTACATGATCTGCTTTGTGCAGAACATATGTAACGCTCTAAGCAACATATACATACTACAGTCTCGCCGGGATCTCATGATCCCTGGCCCTGTCTGCATGTGACATATCGAGAGGTGGAATTCTGAGTCGGAAATTAGTGCGGTCACCAGCTCTAACAGCCGGAGGCGTTGTCGTACAAACGCGCAGACGCCAATAAGTATGGCTAATACGTGAATGCTGAGGGCGCTGAGCTTTGTTACGAGGAACCATCAAATGCCGGCTGGACTGTAGATAGCACTATGTCTCAGGGAGCACGTGATCTCTCTGACAAGCCCCCTGATGTGTTGCGGGGTGCGGTAAATGTGCTGAGTGCATTATATCTTTCAGTATTTACAAACTTAGCAGCATGACGAGCTTGCAGGGGCTGTTATCTAATTAACTAATCGCAAACACTCACAAGATCATTAGGCTCTAATGAGATTACTATATTGTGATAGGCCCATTGCCAGTTCTGTCCCGCCCGCCTCTAGAGAAACAGTCGCTGGGCACTTCGCTAGCCCAGTTCATGAGTTCAAAACGGGAAGTCTCGGCCGTCACATTGATTGTTTTTTTAATGTCCGCCACATAATTGAAGTGACGAATTGGGATAAATGTTTCAACGACCATTCCAATGTCATGTCTGATCAGATATTTCGAAAATTTCTGGCAGAAACTCAATAAAAATATTTTGCTGCCCCGTTTCTTAAAGGGGGAGTCAGGTTTTGCATTTCAAAATCGGGTAAAATGTTCCCTGCAAGCTCCTCTCGGCTTTATCAGCATGCAGAATAAATCGAGACTTCGGATATTATACAGAGTGTCACTAAATCCCCAGTAAATTCCTAAGGTGAAAGTTTACGTACCGAACAATACACAGTGTGACAACACGTGTTTTAGCACATTGGGAAAGACAATTGCATTTATCGAACATCACAGAGACTGTCGCCAGAGACCCAACAAATGGAAAGACGAAGGTTCCACGCATTTCATTAAAACACTCTTAACTCGCAAAAATGTAAGAAACTGTGCATATAATTTATATCGGTGTGACTAGCTGTCTTCTATAAACTGAATAAAATACAGGGTGATTCTAAATTATTGTCAGGGTTTCCGTGGCTTATAATTTTCAAATCAGAAAAAAAACTGCTTATGTAATATGAAAGTGTAACTAAAACCGTTTTATTACTTATAGAATCAATACAGCATAATGTCAAACAACTTCAACATGTGCGCCTTTCATTGCATATAAACAGTTTTATTTTGTTGTTTCTGGTTTGAAAATTACAAGCCACAGAATCCTCGACAGTAATTTAGAATCACCCTCTATGCATTTCACATTTCATTATATGCAGTAGGCCTAACCCACGCAAACGAGAGAAACACGATGTAAAGAAGTTCATACTCAAATTTCACATATTTTAAGTTATTTTTTAAATTGTATAATTGCTACAATTTTTAACATTATTATGAAAATGAGTACAACAGTTTATGAAATTGCAAACTGTATTGAACTGTTTGAAAATAACGGAACATTATTAACTATTGACAGTAAAGACATTTCGTATCCGATGACAGATCAAAAGCACTAGCAGTTAAACAGCTGAATACTCGTCAATTATTCAGGGAACACCCTGTATCATACAGCTTTCCATTCGCTAATGCGTAAGAACCTTTGCGACATCCGGTATATCGGTATTTCAGGGCTGAGGAAAGGTGTGGCAAAGTTTCGAATCTTTGGAGGTACAGTGGGTTTGAGTCCCTGTTCCAGTGCACACCGGACCTGGATGTCCCTCACCTGTTCCGTTGATCCCTGACGGGCGGATCCTGGCGTCATAACGACCCGGTCCCAGGATCTGATCCAGGACCTGTTTCTCCTTCTCCCTGAAGTTCACCTTCCCCTGGTTACACCTGCAACACACAGCACCTGTTATCGCCAGCTTAACCCTCCTCACATTGGCATGTACTTGCTCTGATACAGAAACAAAAAGAACTTTAAAAAGTACTACCGTCTGAGTTGATACGACATGTAGTATGGTAGAGATCTACCGACGTTTCGGAGGAAAATATTACACCCATCTTCAATGTAGAAGAATAAGCCAAGCAAGTAAACACCAAACTGCATGCTGTTTAATAGGTTACTTGCTTAGCGCACGCTTCGACATTAAATATTGAGGCGGTAAGTTCCTCCGAAACGTCGGTAAATTTCTATACGATGAAGCTTGTTATTAAAGAAATCCGTTTAAATTTCAATGGGTTTTATGATACGGCCTTACGGGTTGTAATGTCCTGTATTTCGGAGACAGCCAGACGTTTCAGAATTACCACATCGAAGAGTAAGTCAAACATGAAACAAGCAAAAGCAGACATCAAGCTGATTTCTTCTTTGGCTTACTCTTCGCCATCAGGATTGCAGAAATAGGTTCTTCTGAAACGTCGGGCTCTCTTCGAACTACACAGCGTAGTCACTGGAGTGCGCACATCAAAATGGTTTATGGTTGCGTCTGTGGTATGCTACTAGTAAAATAAACAATATGCACAACAAATATTTTCGAAACGTCGCTATACGACGGATAAAGAAGTGAGCTTAACGTAATTCAGAGGTTTGGCATGATGCAGATCAAAGTTAACAAGGAAAGGAGATTAAGGTACTAAAGGAAACAAGGAAATGAGGTACGGAAGAAGTGTAAGAAAAGATGTCTATAGNTTACACTTGGTTGTCGACTTACGACCGGCCGCACTTACGACCACAAAAAAAAAGATAAATAAATTAATAATAAATTTTTAAAAATAAATTATAAAGACGATAAAAAGATTAGAAAGGTTACAAAATACTGTTAATAAATATATGGTCGACATACGACCTGTCAGTCAGAACGGATGTCAGTCGTAAGTCGAAGACCATTTATTTATGGGTTACTTAAGGGCGCCGTCAGTAGCTCAGATTACAGTAGGACTGAGGTTATGAGAGAGCAGGGGCCTAAGGGGAGTGTCCGTGCCTGGGGACTGGGGCTTCATAACTTGTCCTCCTTGCCAGATGTCATTAGAACGCCCAAGCTACAGGAAACAGAGGTGCATGTTATATCTTGGTAGGAAATCGTGAAGGAAAGAGACCAATAGGAGAACCTAGACGTAGATACCGAGGGTAATATTAAAGTGCATCTCAGAGAAATATGACGGGGAGGGTGGACTGGATTTATGTGGTTCAGGGTACACTGTAATGGCGGGCTGCTTTGAAAACGGTAATGAACCTTCGGGTTCCATAAAATGACGGAAATTTATTGAATAACTGAGCAACTATTTGTTTCTCAAGTACGGCTAGGCTGATTGGTGTTAGTTAGTTATTAGGTAGGATGATTAGTGAAGAACGAATTGGAAAAGAAGCGGTCGTGGCCTAATTTAATGTATTGTCGCGGTATTTGCCTGGGGGAACTGAAGAACATTACGATAAACCTCGGTGAAGACAGTCGGTAACACAGCTCACGCTCGAAAGTGTTACCGACTGAGCCAACTTGCTCGGCGTCATGATGTGGGCAGGGGAAATTCGATTACACATTCCAGCGGGTGGGGCAGTTGACCGTGGGTTCAGAACCAGTCATGCCACTCCCCACTGGACCTCGGCCCGACAATCCCAGCACCTCAGTTCATGAAATATTTAACTAGCCGACGCGGCGTCGCATCAATATTTCCTGATTTCCGGCGCCGTCGCTTGTTCCGCAACCCCCCGCAGGAATAATCGCGGGTCCGCCACGCTCTTTATCGCCACAGAGGGTTCACAGGTCGGTGGTAACTCGGTATACCACCTGTGGAAAGAGAAACCCCTCTCGCCGTGGACAGTTTTGTGTACAGCCTGTCTGACCCATATCCCGCGTTTCCTAATTTCCTTTAAAGAACCGATTTTCTGGGTTGTAACGTCATGTAGTTCGGTCAAAGCCTCGTATCGCCTCCATCTTCAGGGTCGAAAATTAAGTCAAGCAAGATATAAACAGTAGAAGGCAGCTTGCAGATTGGGACGATATGTTTCTCCTGAAACGTCTGACTTTTAGAGACGTTCGAACCCATATAAAACCCCTACCTTTCGTAGTCAGTTCAGTTATAACCTGGAGTTGAACGAAAATTTAAATTTTTTTCATATGGGTGTGAAACTTGGTCCTTCGCTCGGAACGAAGGACAAAGATTAAGGTTACCGAAAATAAATCCTCGGAGACAAAGCAAAATGGAACTAACAGAAATATGGAGTTGTCATGTTGGTATCCTCGTAGAACCAAAATTTAATTTATTACATGTCACCAAAGCCTTCATAAATCACCGGACGGCGGTGCATTTGGCCTGCAGCACTTGAGAGACATGTTACACATTCGTGGCGACAAGTAGGGCCTATGGCACAAATGCTTGGCTGTAAGTTGCACGTCTGAAGGGCGTCTCCCCTGGAGGGTAGCGATGGACCAGGATGCTGTGAGGTACAGAGTTCTCGACGAATATTACTGTCTTGTAGAATTCGACGCCGTATGGTCTAGTAGATAGTGATCAATGTTTCGGAGGGAACTACTGCCTCCAACTTCAGGGTAGACAATTACTACTGTGCTGTCTATTGGTAATAAACATAAAAAAACTCCGTGACCTGTAGTCCGGAAGCGAACTATACAGACCGAACACCGCCGCTTGTCGGCGAAATTTAGTGCCAACTTTAGAGGATAGAGTGTGTCACGTGGTCAGCGCAACCAATCCCCACGGCCGTTCATTTCGGTTTTCTAGACCGGGTCTATTGGTAATATTTAATTAAAAACAGCTAATTTGTAGACGAAAGGAAGTAGTCGTGGCTCATTTTAATTAACGTTCGTGAACTTGGCTGTACAGATATAGGAAAATTAGGAACACCCTCGGTGTCCTTAGCAGGTAATGTCCTAGCTGAGGTTCGAACTGGAGATTTCGCGAAGAGAAAGCTCGTTCAGAGCTCTCCTGACTTTTACATGAGTGTTGTTAACGTCTACCGGGATGAGACGCCGTGTGATGTGGTAGATAAATAGCAAAGTTTCGCAGGAATCCTGAACACAGCCTGAAGATGGAGACAGCAGTTTCCTACGAAACCTTGTAACCGATATACTAAACTTCACGGCGTCACAACCCAGATGATTTTAATTTGAATTTCAAAAGGAATTTATCCCTGTACTTTAATTGCCTGTGCACAAAACCACGAAGACGTATGGGGAATTAAGGTACAGATCCTCGTAATTCACGTTCCGACCTCTTTACCCCCTTGGAAAGAGGCCCGGTACCCCTTGGATGAGATACAGGGCGAGACAAACAGCCGGTCTGGACAACATGCTGACTGAACTAGGCCGGTTCTCGTTACTTTTTGACTATTCGTGTTCTAGTGGTCAGCGTTCCTGGCTATAGATCCAGAGGTCCGGGTTCGATTTCCGGCGCTACCAGATTTTTTCTGAGAAGTAGTGGGTCTGTAACGGGGTCCACTCAGCCTCGTGATGATAATTGAGGAGCTATTTCAAGGAAAGAGCGGCTCCGGTCTAGAAAACCTAAATTAACGGCCGTGGGGATTCGTTGCTCTGTCCACGCGACACCCTCTATCCGCAAAAGTTGGCACTAAATTTCGCCGACAAGCGGCGGTCGCTCGGTCGGTATAGTTCTCTTGCGGACTAAAATCACGGAGTTTGTTTTTGTTTTCTGTTGGAACCTATTGTTGCGGCATGTTCGGAAGTACTGCGATAAGGCGCGGGATGGCAGCAGCGACGCACGGACACCGCTCCGAGCGCCTCCCTGTGGTGCAGAGAAGTCTAAGGAGAAGGGGAAATCGCTCGCGAATCGAGAGATCAGTGTCACTGTGCTGTTTGGAAGACTGCAATAAATAAACAAAACACAATCATTGTCTTGATCACAGCGCCGCGTGCGTCACGCGAAGACATCAACCACTCACCGGTTGGCATGGTTACCACAGTGTAACATGTCAGGGCTGTCCAGTCTCTGCTCCACCTTCTATCGAAAGCTGCAAATTCATATGCATAAGATATATTTTTATAAGTGAAAATATATACAATTTTAAGTCCTTAACGTTGTATTTTTGAGGGTCGTGGCCATTTTGAAGCAACTGGTTAATATGTGTACCACGTATTTCAGCATTAAGAAAGTACTTTCCCCCGCAGAATGCACTGAAATATTTCGTATTACTCTCAGAATAAACAGCGATTGTTTCCTATAAGACTCGATCTCTGTAATGGGAACGCAGTATGTTTTCTGTATGGTAGGAACCGAATTTTAAAACGTTACTTATGTGAATTTTAGGCTGGTAATGGTAAGAAGGATGAGCTGGGCGAATTACGTAGAAAGCATGAGAACAACATGAAATATTAACTTCACATAAAATTTTGGTTCCAAGACTTGGTAGAATGGGATCGATTTCAAAACATAAGCATATATATATATATACAGGGTGTCCCAGGAGGAATGTGCCAAACTTCGGGAGGGTGTTCCTTATGTTAAAGTATGCCGATATAACCCAAAACACCTATGTCCAAAGTTGAACGGTTACGGAGATAATGGCCAGAGAAGTGTCAAACTTTGACCGGGGTTACACACTTGTTGATTACAAAATAGATATTAAAACTGGCAGGAATATGTGGATTCTGTAATGTTAATAATGTACGTAACATCAAACCAACTTGTGAGTGACGGAAAGCCATAAAATTGAAGTACAAAATACTCGCTCGCCATGTCATAATTGTCCTTAGGTTTCCAAGCAGTATACATAACACATGACTGGCGTGCGATGACGTAATATGGCTGCGCTATGAGCCGACCACATAACTCTTATTATACCTACATTCACGGATAATCTCTTTTGGAATTTCGTTTCCATTATCTCATGTGGATTATTATGGGACCACGTATGCACATTTCGTAAATTATTTACACCGTCCAGGGTAAAAGACGCCTCATCACTACACATGACACATGAATGGCAAGCGCTGGTGTAACATGACTGACTGCATATTCTGCTATAAGCCAACTACATAAGTATTAAAATACAGTACCTGCTTTATAGTAATTGTTCAAAGTGTCCTCCGCCAGCTGCAATGCAGTTTTCGGCACGCATCATGAGGGATTGGGTAGCAGAAGCAATGTTGCCTGAATGGTGACGTATGTGCTCTGCCGCTGCAAAAATACGATTCCGCAGTGCTTCTCGGGAATCGACCTTAGTTTCGTAGACTAAGGTCTTCATGTGGCCCCAGAGGTAATAATCTAGAGGCGTAAGATCTGGCGACCTCGGTGGCCATGCAATGGGACCACCACGACCTATCCAGCGGTTAGGGAAGGATTCATCTAAGTAGTGTCTCACGTGCTGAGTATAATGTGGAGGAGCCCCATCATGTTGGAAGTACATTTTCCTCCTTATCGTTAACGGGATGTCTTCCAACAAACATGGTAACTCATTCCTTAGGAAGGCTCCATACGTGTTTCCAGTTAAATTGTTGTGAAACACAAAAGGTCCGATCAACCTGTTCCCAAGCACACCACACCATACATTCACAGAAAATCTCTTTTGGAATTTCGTTTCCATTATCTCATGTGGATTATTATGGGACCACGTATGAATATTTCGTAAATTATTTACACCGTCCCGGGTAAACGACGCCTCATCACTGAATAAAATGACGCTTAACAGTTCGGGATGAGCTTTTATCCAGTGGCAGAAATCCATACGCTGAGCATGGTCGCCTGGTTCCAGATGTTGTACCCTTTGATCATGGTAAGGATACAGGTCTTCGTCATGTAAAGTTCGCCACACCTGCATACGTGATACGCCGATGCGAGAGGCCATTCTACGAGTGGAGAGACGCGGACTTCTATCAATCATGCGAAGAATGTTCTCTCGTGTGTTTCTCATTTGTACATCCTCCCTTTCCGACTGCACAGAAACACTCGGAAGAGAACCAGTCTCACGCAATGTCTGGTGAATTCGCGTAAATACACTTCGAGATGGAATCCTTCGATCGGGAAAACGCCTTTGGTACTCTTCAACAGCAGCACGTGCATTGCCACCGCAAAATCCATACACAAAATGCATATCACAATATTCCATGTGTGAAAACACAAGAGGCATTTCAGCAACTCATCACACAACTAATTTACCACCCATTCACGACCCCGCTGCAACGTAATCTGTAGGGTAGCGCATGAGCTGACGGCTAGTGACTCACGGCACTCAAGGACAAACAGATAAGGGTCTCAGCTGACAGATACGTATAGTGCGTGGACCTGCAAGAAGACCACACTTTTCTCGGGCCATTATCTCCGTAACCGTTCAACTTTGGACATAGGTGTTTTGGGTTATATCGGCATACTTTAACATAAGGAACACCCTCCCGAAGTTTGGCACATTCCTCCTGGGACACCCTGTATATATATATATGTGTGAGGATAATATTAAAACGATTTTTTTTTTCATAAATAACTTGCTATAAAGTGAATTAATTTAATTAAGGAGGGGTGCCTATGACGGACTTCTGTGAAAACGGTAAAGCACAGTGTGTTTCATATGTTAAGGGAATTCCCCGACCACGGATGAGTGACTACAACTTCATTAACTGACTGATTTCTCGGGTTATTTGTCGACTGTGAAGAAGGAGGCAGTACATTCTTCCGAAACGCCCCTAAACGTACACCGGACCGAACAGCTTCATGTGTTCATATCTACGGCTCGGATAACCTGAAGCCCTTCGCTCTGACGTTGCATTCACGAATACTCGTGGTAGCAACTGGCAGTCTTGTGGGACTTCTGTTTGTTGTGTAACAGAAGTTTGTTTGCGAACTAGCGGGCAGCAGTTCGATTTCCGGTGGAAGCATAATTACCATGTTACAGTTCATGTCTTATACCGGATCAAACTTCCCCTACACTTCCTCTACACACCTTCATGACGTAAGCGCGTGCGCAGAAGGTTAGCTTTACTTCAGATGGCGTGGGTCGGACCCAGTGATTACATTTTCATCGCGTTCGAAAGTCTCAGACCAAGAGAACCGGATATTGCGTGTTTGTTAATGTAAGTTAGTATGGAAAATTCTCAACGGCGTGCTTTGCGGTTTATTAACCTTACGGAAGGTCTGTTTATAACATCTTATTAACGGTTTACGGTACAGGCCTATACAAATAGGTGGAGTTTTTTTTTCCTTGCCACTACAGCCCCAGTGGGCCTAGGCCTACCTCCATGAACTCCGTTCACTTCGGTTTTTCTAGATCTTACACAATCGGTAGGACTCCTTAGGCAAGTGATCAGTTCGTCGCAAGGCCTCTACCTTTAGACAAACACAGAAAAACGCACACAAACATCCATGCCCTGAGCGGGATTCGAACCCACGATCCCGGCTTCCGAGCGAGCGAAGACAGTACATGCCTTAGACCGCTCGGCTACCGTGACCGGCAGGTGGAGTTTTTGCTTCACGTAAAATTGATTTTATTACAGCTTAATATTGTTGAAAAACTGATAAACCCAACCAATTTTGTTGGAAGTGTCTCATTTCGAACATTCAAAAACCAAAATTAGTCTAATATGCACACTAAGGCCACAAAATATGCTGTAATGAATCAAAGGTCTTGCAGATTGAACCGAACATCACATACAGGAAGCTGAGGAAGCTACGGCCTTGGAAGCCGTCACCAGGCGACAGCCGGTGTAGATGCCGCAGACTGAACTGTAGGTGTGGGAATTAGCAATAGCGCAATGTGCTGTAAATGCCCAATAAACCCACTTACCAATCCAAACCCCGTCGACAGTCATTCAATCGCATGACAATACTTTCTTCTGTTTAATTGTTGCTCATTTGACGATGCTTTCAGCGACACTGACCACGGAGTCAAATGGCACGATAGTTCATCAACAGTGAATAGGAAAGGATTCGGAAGGACGTCGATAGAGCCTCATTTCAAATACTGTCCCAGAATTTGTCTGGAGATACCGATAAAACCACGGAAACCCCAGTCACGATAGCCGGGATTCTTAAGGCACTTCTCAGCAGTGTTTTTTTATTGCTAGTGGGGTGGGACTAAGTCCCTTGTACTACGGCTAATTCTGGCCTATTGTACCAGTCCCAGATGATAGGTGAGGGTGATTGTGGAGCAATGGTGGAATGAAGATTGGCAGGGGAAACCGAAGTACACGGAGAAAACCTACCCCCACCACAAATCCCACTTGACCAGACCCGTGATCGAAACCGGGCCGCCACGGTGGGAAGCCAGCGACTAACCGCTTGAGCTATGGCGCGGCCAAATCTCAGCAGTGTTACGGCTGAGCTAACTTGCTCGGTTTTATGTGTACAGAATGCCAAGGGAACCAGGACAGTTCAGTCTTGTAGCAGGCTACAGGCTGGACGGTCGAGGAATCGGGGTTCGATTCCTGGCAGAGGTAAACAACTTTACTCCACAGCGTCCACACAGACTGTGGTGTCCACCCAGGCTCCTATCCAGGGGGAATATGGGAGTAAAGCGGCCGGAGTGTGAATCTGACCTCTCACTTCCAAATAGTGTTGAGGTAAAGAATAGTGGAGCGATACCTCCACTTCCACACCCGTCTTAATGACTTGGTGCTTGACTAGTCACGCACAGAGGCGAGTTCAGCTTTGCTCTACCAGGAACGACTTCGCCCCTGCAGAGAGCACGTGAAGTGCCCGGGACAGAAGACTTAACCCACGCTGTGCGCTGTATTTTGAGGTTCCGGGTAACGCGATGGCTTCTGAAAGCGCGAGTTGGTCACAAATTAAAAATACCAGCCAGTCATTAATAATGGCGTGCTCTTTGTGGTTCAGCGGGGCCGCCAGTTCCGGTCTCTACAGTCGCGACATGCAGGCAACAGCTCGCAAATTGCGCTTCTCTTTCGCTTGCCCGGTAAGACAAATCTCAAACATGAGGACTGCGACCAGAATTCTATGGCTCAACACTGTTTCAATATTGGTGTAAGTCCCGGTGAAACTTCTACGGAAACTTAATACTAAATCCAGTGGAACATGGCTGAACGCGCTGGGATACAGCCTGACGCCGGAAATCTCGCTTCTCCTGCGATAGTACTCGTATTACTGATGCGGTGGTGTACTCACCAGCTTATCTGAACCAAACTGCTGAATATCATCAGCAGCAGAAGGGTGGCGGTGGTTTGGCTATGGGGTGGCCATAACGATGGCGTGGCCACAGTGGTCATGATGGAGCGACCCCTAGGCCCGGTCAAGGTCACACTGCAAGAGAAGGAAACTATGATAATGAAATCGTACAAACTATTCACTGTCTTAAATCACCGTGAAGTGCATCTTGTGTCTTGCCATACGTGTAGTGTTCTCAAACAAGCAGATTTTGATGTGTCAGCAGCGGGATTTTGCGCTTAAAGCGCAAAGTTTACATTGTAACAGGTGCTGCTGGTTCATGGGTAGATAATACCGTGGCATGTAGACGCGCTGCTAGGCAACGACAAAATAAGCGACTATAAAACGGCCGTTTCTGAGTAATGGCTCCGCAACAATTGGCAACGACAATAATTGGGGGGAAAAGATCATCCGGATTAAGCTATAATCCTGATTAATGAAGCAAAAGATAGCCCTAAAAGACAAAGAAAACTTAGAAAACAAATAAATTGGAAATTTAATAATATAGGTAGTGATGATGGAAATAAGGAAAAGATATCACTGCAGCAATTTCTTGCTGTCAGAAGCTGAAATCCAGGATATCCTTTATCCAGCTGAAGCCAATCTTGGATATTTCCTTGCGCGGTTTCAGTCTCTCCAGCTGCTTTCAGCACAGTCTGAAAGTCCTCTTGCTGTCAGAAGCTGAAATCCAGGTATCCTTTATCCATCTGAAGCTAATCTTGGATATTTCCTTGCGCGGTTTCAGTCTCTCCAGGTGCCCTCAACACAGTCTGAAAGTCCTCTCGCTCCTAAATCCCACGTGTCCTTTAAAGTATGTACTCAACTGTGAACAGATTCTTTTTTTAATTTTTCACGTTTCGATCCGGATTAGCGAGGGTTTACAGTAATACAAAAGAATTCATCGGCTAAAGCGTAAAACGCAAGGCACGTAACACTGTACTGATTGTTTCAATTAACAAATACAGAACTCCACAAGAAATTGAAATATTTTGGAACATGCAGCTCAAAGAGAGTGCCCACAGGGGCCACATGCTCTCAGATGCAGCAGTTTTGTAAGCGTCGAAATTTCATGCCCGTGGCACTTTTAGGCTTAACGAATAAACTAGCTTTCAGTAACTCTCAGCCCAATACATATAAAAGGTAAAGGTAACGTAAAGCTGTTCCTGTAACAAGCCGTGGAGCCCTATACGGTTGTGAGACGTCGAGGCTCCCACATTTTCTCTACTATCGGCTCACAGATGGCGCTAAGGTTTTCAGCTTTACGCTCCCGCCGCCCTTTACCCCGCAAAAGAACCCTGGTACTCATTTCTGTTAGAGACTGAGTCGATCCCAGGGCCATAGTGCGGCTGGAAAGATAAGGTCAATTGAAAAATCCAATGAGCTCATCGGTAATCGAACCCGCGGCCTCATATCGATTATTCGTAAATGCGATCTTAATGTTATCCTGAAGACTGCCGTCTTCTTGGATGTGGTGACGTGTAGATATGTCGGTTTACGCAAGATCTGCACGTCCCCACATCCCAGAAGACGACACTGTTCATAGTCACCCCCGTGAAGACCTAAATTAATGTTATCCTGCTATGTTATTCCTGTGTGTCACAAAACTGATGGCGCATATCCACGCATTGGCTCAAGTGGTAACGCCTTCAGTGAACGTTAAAAAAATCTTCCGACGGTTTAGGAGCCAATAGTGCGTGACCAAGAGACGGGTAGATGTGGCCTCCACATGAGACAACATAACCTGAGAAACTTTTTGCAATATTTAACAAGTTAATTGAATTTCTGTCATTTTGATTGAAACGAGTTGTTTCAAAATTGTAAGCTCTAAACTTTGAATGATTTCAGTTTACGGTGCGATTGATTCAATATTCAGAAAATTCGAATTGAGTTTCCGAAGAATTCAATCAGTCTTTTCCTTCCTTTCACACACACACCGTATCCCATTTACACAAGCCTGAAAACGGCGTTCAGGTCAGAAGAGGCAAAATATGGTCATCTGAAACAGGCCGAGGCGCGTGTCATTTGGCCCATCTCACTGGCCGCGCGGTCTGAAGCATGACCTATCTCCGTCCTCTCCAACACTGGGTTCGTGCGTTCGAATCCCTCTTGAAGCATGGGTGTCTGCTTGCGTTTATACTGTGTTTGTTCTGTCTTGTGTGTGCATGTAGGGGTCTTGCGACGGGCTCATCCCCCGTTCAAGAGTCCTACTGACTATTCAGAAGATCAAGAAGATGCAAAAGCGGCCTAAGCCGAAGAAAGGGCTATAGAGCCATAGACACGTCACTTGAGTTAATTCTAGGTAAGTAGCTAACTCCATAGAGCTGAGTCCTTCTTGAGAAGCTGTCATTTGTGCAGCCACTCAAGAACTTTCCAGCGTTTTATGCAACCAGAAGGTTCAGTACCGTGGTCACAAGAGCCCTCCACTTGTCCCTATCCTGATCCAGATCAACCAGTTCATGACGCCATGAAGTAATTGTAAGTTGAAGGAATTTGGATTTTAAACCAAAAGAAATGAGAGGTGGCCGGAGTACATCTCTCGAGGGCACCTCGCCTGCTCGATCACTGGATCAGATCACTAAAGAAAGTACTTTCCAAGCACATCGCTTTCAGCGGTACATCACAAATTGAGCGGGAAGAAAAGTCACCGGTATGGTGATTTCGGCTCCCATTTTATTTTGAAAACTGAATCTAGTGCCTTTATGATGGTGACGTAACAATGTACGTCACTGTTCGCAGGTGACGCACCCAAAGAAATTTAGATGGACAAGAGTAACAAAATTGTAAAAGTCATTTGGAATTTCGTCACACACTGAAGGAACGAGGGAGCTTAGGAAGACCAGGACAACAACAGAACATCTTTGCGTTCACAGGAACAGCTGTGAACCTTCAGCGTTGATCATAATAATGACAGTGCTTACGTCAACAAATTTATCATCAATCCTGCAACCCCATAACGAAACGACGTGTAGAAAGCGACTGTTGCGTGCTGAACGGTAAAGAGAAACATTTGAAACTAAACAAGGCGCTACAGTAGCAATCTGATTGGCCTATTGTAGCCTGCCCCAGCGCCACTTTGTCCACCACAAGTCCCACTTAACCAGACCCGGGATCGAACCCGGGCCGCCGCGGTGGGAAACTAGCGACTAACCGCTTGAGCTATGGCGCTGCCATGCGGGAGTTCCCAAAGAAACAGATCAGTACATGTATATATAAGAGCGTTAGCATCGATGCCACATGATATCAATTCTGCATGCCCATCAACCTATCAAACTGTAAATTCGCCGTACAAGAGCGGCAACTTCTCCTACACGGATAGTAGGCGTGCACTCTAAATGCAGGCTCTCTACAAATTTTCTTGGGGATTGCTGAAGTGAAGGTCAAGCAATGGATAAATCTCGGAAATATATTTTGACTTGTATATTTAACGACATCCATCCAGCCACTGAGACACAGCCAAGGGTAAGACCAGGACGCCGTTAAGCATCGCGAAGTTATTGCCCCTGACTTCGTGCCCTCTATGTATACGTAAAGGCGTCGGTAACCATTGGACAGAAGGATGCGAGGGTATGACAGCCGATTTGGGGGTGGTTGTAAAAACAAAAACAAAAATTCTTAAGCTTTTAACACGAAGGAAAAATTCCCTCCAATTTTTTTATTGCTAGTGGGGTGGGACTAAGTCCCTTGTACTGCGGCCACTTCTGGCCTATTGTACCAGCCCCAGATGATAGGTGAGGGTGATTGTGGAGCAATTGGTGGAATGAAGATTGGCAGGGGAAACCGAAGTACTCGGAGAAAACCTGCCCCAGCGCCACTTTGTCCACCACAAATCCCACTTGGCCAGACCCGGGATCGAACCCGGGCCGCCGCTGTGGGAACCCAGCGACTAACCGCTTGAGCTATGGCACGGCCCTCCCTCCAAATGTTACTTTAGAATGTAATTCCGATAAAACACGTGGTATCACATGCTGTTAAAACATACCAGTTTTTGTAAAGGGTTGTTCAGGAACTATGCAACAAAGAATGCCGTATTCTGGGATGTGGCGCCGTGTGAATCTTGTGTGAACTGAAGTTTCGGAGGAACGTATCGCCTCCATCTTCAGGGTAGAATATCTGCGAGCAAGGAGCCATCTATAGCTATATAGCTGGGTATCTCTCGGCTGGTGACTCAGCCTGAAGCAACCTGCTCAAGCCGGGTACTCGCTCACAGATATTTCTAACCTGAAGATGGATGTGTTACGTTCGTCCGAAACGTCGGTTTACAAAAGATCTAAATGGTATCACATCCCAGAAGACAGCACTCTTCATAGTCACCGCCGGGAAAACCCCAAATTTTCAACTACGTTACACGCCGAAAGGTTACGAGTTTGAATCCCGATTATGTAATTGGATTTTTCAATTGACCTAATCCTTCCAGCAGCACTACGGCCCTTAGTTCGACTCAGCCTCTTACAGAAATGAGTACCAGGAATCTTCCTGGGGGTAAATCGCGGCCGGCGCGTGAGGCTGACAAGCTCACCGCCATCTGTGAGCCGATTGTCTAGAAAATGTGGGAGCCTCGACGTCTCACAACCCTATGGGCCTCCACGGCCTGTTACAGGGAGAGCTTTGCTTTCTTGCCTGCTAGGATGTGCCTCCGATTAGTCTGTTCGATCCTTACCGTCGTTTCGGAGGATCGTGTTACTCCCATCTCCGTGGTAGAATAGTAAGCTTCAATACCGTGAAGAACAAAACAGTGCATTCTTCCGAAACATCGGTAAAGATCCACCAGACAAAAAATTTCTCTAATGTCTTCATTCGGTTCCAACTGGTGGCATTACCGTTCACTCTATGTTCATTGCTTGTTGTGTCCCGCAGAAAGTGAAATTCGATGTTAATTCAATAAACTGCATACGGCTTTCGTGCACCACGTGTATAGGGTCGCGGCAGCTCCATAGCTTGGGGGTTACGCGCCTCATTCTCATCGCCCTACAATTTATGGTGGAGAATGTGGCAATGGGACGGGTTTGTCTTCCCTGCGAACCGCTTCACATTCACTGGCGCTATAGTCTCAACCCTGGCAGCGCAGTTACGTGGCAAGGTGACAGGTAACAAGGTCA